ATAGTTGTTCGTACGACTAGCTTGCGTTTTGTTGTGTTTTAATTGAATTGAGAACATGGATTGCGAAATACTAATAGCTTTGGTGCACGAACGAAGATCCCTATGGGATCAAAAAAGCAAACAGTATCACAACAGAGAGTTAAACAAGAAATTATGGAAAGAAATAGCAGGTCAAATGAAACTAGGAGGTAGGTATATTCATTTTAATTTTATTCATTTTAATAATTTTATGGTATACAATATGATGTTGCATTTCTGTTTTAACACAAAATAACTAAGTATCGCATATTCCTAAATATTTTCAATGATTATTGAAATATTGCATAAATTGGTTTCTAATGTCGTAGGCAGTAGTAGTAGCCCTGTTAAAATTTCGTGTTCCAACGTTTCTATCGCATATTCTTTGGAGGTTTAAGGATCTCGCTCATTATACCAACACAACACAACACGTCGCCGGCCAGCGCTGGCCGACGACGATTCGGCTTGCGCTCATATAATGACGGCTAACGACACTTTTCAACGTTAAAAACAAACTACTGATGTAGTACAATTGAAAAAGTTTAGTATTGTGGTAAGCATGGAGTCTTCAGATTCGTCGGACGAAGAGTTGATGGTGGTTGTAAGTGCTCTAGAAGCAGAGGAGAATGAAAAAAAGCGAAAGAGGAAAATGTGGGTTCATCCTATTAATATGAAAAGATCAACACTGGGAGAATTTCATCACTTGTTCCAAGATTTACAGAGAGACGAGATAAATATTTTTTTTCAATGACTAAACTTAAACAGCTGATTACTTTTGCGCATGCTAAAGACATTCTTGACGGTTTACCTCCGCACACTTCACCAACACAACACAACACGCATCGACATTTGTCGGTCAGGGTTGTGCGATGAAGATCCGACCAACATCGGCCGACGCTGTGTCGTGTCGTGTTGGACAAGTGAGCGGATCCTTATTTAACCTAATGCATTTTATCTTCACCGACATTTGACGTGACGTGCTGTGTTGTGTTGTGTTGGTATAATGAGCGAGATCCTTTACAATATCTTTAATGATGTGTGGGTTTCCCTCTAAATCAATAATTATATTATGCAACAGGCAAATACATTTTACAATTAAATCGACTTTGTCAGGAGCAAGTTCAATTTCCGTTTTTAGAATTCTCCATTTTGAGGTGATTATACCAAAGGCGCATTCGACAAGGCGTCTTGCTCGGGAAAGGCAGTAATTAAAATTTTCTTGCTCCTGCGACAGATTGTGTCCAGAAAAAGGTCTCATTAGATACTGCTTTAATGGATAGGCTGCATCTCCTACGAATACATGTGGAACAATAATATTTGTACCCGGCACTGTCTTCGGTCCAGGTACACAAAATGTATTTTGTTCGAGATGGTGGTACAGCGATGACGTAGTGAAAATACCACCATCGCTCTGCTTTCCATAACTTCCAACTTCAACACATATAAACTTGTATTGCGCATCTACCAAACCTTGGAGCACAATCGAAAAATATTTTTTATAATTGAAATAGAATGACCCAGATTTCGCAGGACATTTAATTCTAATTTTCTATAAAACTGTTCAGCAATGGACGAAAACATGGATTCCGTTGGAAAGGGCATATGCTTTTGATATAAAGTATTCCATATAGCCTCACAGGTTTCATAAACCACTTGTCGAATAGTTGTATGTGACATTCGGAATGAAAATGCCAATGATCGGAAAGAAGCGCCAGTTGCAAGATACCTAAAACAAAATCACGCAATTGGTAAACTACTGCTGCCAATAGAATCACTACTTCCACATGATATTCATAATATTCTTTTGTGTTATTGGAATAGCCAAAATGATTCAGAATTGCTTTTTTCAGAGGATACTGTGCGTCAAAAATGGCGAGGATTGCGTGATACATTTAGAAAGGAAATTTCTAAACTTGGTCAAAAAAGGAGTGGAGATGGTGCTGATGATGAATCACAGTCAAAGTGGCAATATTTCATCAATATGCTCTTTATAAAAGATCAGTTTACACCCAGAAAAACAACAGGTAATATTGAAAATGCTGTACAACAATCTTCCACGTATGATGAGACGGATATTGAAAAAGAAAAATTGCAACATTTTAAACAGCATTTGGGGCATAAGGAGGATGATGACACACACTTTCTACTAAGTCTTGTCCCATACATTCAACCCCTGCACGTGTATAGAAAGCTGTTGCTTAGATCCCAAATCTTACAGTTGGTTATGCAGGAACATGAAGCCGTTTCTGCACCTGCAAGTTATCGTCAATCGACTTCTCGTCAATTTATTCCGATCCCAACTCCGCCACCGGTATATAGTACCACCTCAACAGAAGTTTCACAGCCTGCAAGTTATCGTCAATCGACTTCTCGTCAATTTATTCCGATTCCAAATCCGTCACCGGTATATAGTACCACCTCAACAGAAGGTTCACAGCCAGCGACGCCTGCACAAGAATCAAATGAGTCTAACTTCCATTCAGATGCTTTTGGTAATAATTATAATGATGGTTCTGCAGCTGGATATTTGACCACCTTTCAGCCAGATGATTTTGTATAATTTGTGAATAAAAATATACGTTTCTGAAAACGTAATTCTTACTTGCCTTAATGTTAATATCAGTTTATGCTTTGCGGATATGCACTCACGAAAATTCGAGTACTTCGAAATGTGACTCTCAATATTCTCTAATATATAATCGAATGTGGATTGTGTCATTCTCGTGTATTCGAAAAATTTTTCATCATTTCTTCTCAATTCTTCGAATGACCTTCCAAACTCTCCTTTTTTATTTCTGGATAAAAAATATTTATCCTCCAATTTTTTAGCCACGATGTTTGAAATAAATGTAGCTCTGAGATATACTCCATACTCACACTGTAGTCGTACTGAATTGAACTCGTTCATTGTAACCACACACGCCTCCTAAATTCGAAACTGCCATTACTCCATTCTTATCCTAACCGCCGCCATCAGTTAAAACACGAGTTTACCAAACGACTAATTAGGCGCCTGCAAAAAGAATAAGATCTGGCAGCACTTATTGAACCACGTCCAGTAATTGTACAATTCCCCGGTGCGCGGTATTTGACCGGTCTCCCCTAAAACGTATTTGCTATCCGCCAGTGTTTCGAGCAGGCAAGTGATAAAATATAAAACAGTAGGGATAATAAAACAATGACAAATACTTACGGGAATGTATGGGTGTCGGCATGAAGCAACAGCACTGAATAGATTTTACGAAATCCACACAGCGATACATACATGTAAAGTCTCCAGCTGTGGATTATTTATAAATCGGAAGTTTCCATGGTGTGCAGCTACTCCTGACGCATTGTTACATTGCCAGATATGTGGTATATGTTGCGTCGAAATTAAGTGCCCCTACTGAGCAAGAGATTCCTCTGTTTTTGAAATAACCAAGGAGGGAAAAGGGTGCTTGCTGAAAACGCCTACGGGAATGATGTTGAATCGCAAGCATGCCTATTTTTATCAAGTTCAGATGCAAATGGCTGTCACAAACTGTACTTCTTGTTTTTTTGTTGTGTGGAGCAAGGACATTTACATAGAAAAAATTGGGTTTATGGATGAGTTTTGGACCGAAGAGAAGAAACGAGCAGAGATGTTCTTCCAAAAAGTTATTATTCCGGAGTTATTAGGACGGTACTATACGGCACACCAAGAATAACCAGATGAGCAACAACCTTCAACCAGCAAGTCTACAGACATTCCACATGAAGCTGAAGATGCAGAGGTACTTTAGTATATATAATTTTCTGTCAAAAGCCCGATGATGGTGATCAAATGGTTCGGTGCTCCACTCAGAAGTGTACAATTAAGTGGTACCACGCCAAATGCATAAATTTGAAAAAAATACCCAAAAAATGGTTTTGTGACAAGTGTAAATAAATATGTTTTTGATTATACTCGTAACATTTATTGATAATAATAACATAACCATTTTTCAATACATGCAGACTAAAACTTCATGCTAAACCAGCACACTGGGGATAAAAGTTCCATCATTAAACTACCTACTTATTCTACTTACTGTTATAATTATTTTAACGTAAACATTACTCACTACTAACTACTGAAGGACATAAATTTACAAGGGCTGCAGAAACACATAAAATTTGATCAATAACTGCAACATCATCAACTTTCTTTTTAACTAAGTACATGGGCAAAATTTCATACAAAATTGTATATTTTTGTTTCAAAACCCCAATGACACGTTCTACGTGAATTCTTACATGAGCAATATTTCTAGTATCTTCAATTTCCCTAGGTTCCAACTGCTTTTTGCCTTTTAAAAATGCTGGTGTTTTGACTGTTGCCAAGTGCAAGCCAACAGACTGACTTATAAGAAACCCCCTATCGGCTAAGATTAAATCCCCGGGCTGCAAGTTTTGTAAAATACCGCAGTCTTCGGTAATATTCTTATCACTGATTCTGCCTCCATATCCTTGAGATATAAATGAAATTGAACCGGCAGGAGCTATACCAATAAGCACTTTTACCGTATTGTGAGATTTATATGAGGACCAAGTTTGTAGCCTGTGCTTCGAGGTGCTTTGACTTTTCAATATGAGTTTCGAAACAATCAATTATCACTGTTACTTTTTTACCGAAAGCATCTTTAAAGCACTGGGGCATGCTGTTAACAAGCTGCTCTCTAGAAGGCCACATGCTTCTTTAATCTAAAGTACATTACTGTAAGTGTACTATAAAATATTCTTGAAATGGTTTGAATACTTACATGGAACAAATGCGACCATAATGTAAAATCTAAATTTAGCCTAAGCCTCACTAAAGTGATTATAAAGTGTGTAAATTTGTCCTGAATTATAGTTGTTGCAGTTATTTTAATATAAGGTTCTATCAATCTGCTAAAAATACTATTCAACGCAGCAAAGCTTGGAATCCCTGTAAAGTAAAGTGTCTTCCTATCATCATTGTTGAAGGTAGCTTTGCTAAACGTATACTGTGACACTAATTGCCGCAAGTTATACAGTTCATTGTTGAGCAGAACATCGGCTTCAATGACATCTGTTTAAGTACTTTGAGTAACGTACACTAGAGTCCCAGATGTGATATGTTCTTGACTTTCTGTAGTTTCTGCACGTGTAGTGTCTTCATGATGGGGAATTTCTGCATCTGTACCGAGTTCTTCTTTCTAAAACAGGTTTATGTGTAAACAACATATGATTAAACATACTTTAATTTTATCGTGCAGAACACACCACCCAACACATTACATTATTTACTTAATGCATGCGAAACTACAAACCATCACTAAAAAGCATGGTGCTGTATGCTTAAAAAAAACCAGTGATCTGTAATTAACCTGGTAAGAAAAGCCTGTATATACCTACCTCAGGGTTTTCTTTTCGCAGTATCTTCTTGCTCCGCTGATACCTTGAGAGAGCGGTAGTACCAATCGAACGACCTGAGGTATAACCTAGCTTCTGGTTTGGCACATAATCTGGATGATTTACATCGCCTTCTTTAGATGGATATCCTTTAAAATGTACACCATACAAATAACAATCTGGTACCTACTTAAAGTTGCAAGTTTATCTGTTATAAAATGATCCGAACATACATACAGCTGCATATCTCAATTTTTCTTGTGTTAAATCTTCCCTATTAATAGCTTGAAGCCACAAACGTCTCCTCTCTATACCTTCTGGTAGTTCCCGACCTCTTCTATCCCTGGTGCCAGGAATGCCAAAGAATTTCTTGCATATCTCACGATTGCTCCTATTTGTACAACCATACACAGCACAAAATCGCGTCATTTTCGATTCTTCACGTAAAGAGGCCTACACAAAACTAACCGGCACTTAGGTACACAATAGAGAAGCTCACAACGCGCGTTATTTGATTAATTTTTTTACCTTAAATGAGGGTTTTGTGTTCACCTCTCATATACGCGCAGGTTAAGGTTGACCCCGATCAGCTGTTTACACTTGTAAACAAACGTTCTGTGACGTCACATGGAAATGGACTATTACTTGTTTAGAGCCATTTCATCAAACATAACGACACATTTTTTCTCTCTGTCGGTCATGCTTTTTGCTTTCAGGCATAGTTTTTTTGATAAGTTTGTTTTAACTCCAGTTCTTAAATTTATAACTTTTAACCATGTTTGAATCGTTCGAATGGCTGGCAATACAAATTTTAAATTGTATAATAAAAATCAGTACGCCGTAGTTGACTTATAATATAATGAAAGCGAAAATTGTTTTTCACTTTTTGACCATTTAGTCGATTTCTTATGAAGACGCTGCATGTTCACAAACGTTTTCACAGTCTGGATTTTATAAATTAATAAGCTTTGGAGAACAGAATTCTTTGAAAGCGAACTGTTTTTTTCCTTAACCTAGACGTTTGTAATCGTTTGGCCCTCAGCTTCTTTCTCAGTTCCACAATTTTATATGGTAACTTTTTACATTTTGAATTCAAAAACATTATAGTGGGACTGGACATATCTATTATGCGATTGCTTACCGTAGAAATCACAGATTCACTATTCACACGAACTAATTTGGCGTGAAATGGCAAAGTGGGCTCTTCAAATTCATCATCTCTACAAGTTGAGCGTGTTTTTAATAGGTTCTCGTATCTCGACTAGTGGTTGAAGCGGTCACCAAATGATGTTTTTTTGAGGTTGAGTGTACTAAAGACTTCTTCAGGTTTATCTGAAATGGGACATATCGCTTTACTTACAAAATTGATCTAAGTGCAATAACCAAACCAGCGAAATAATTAGGACAATACCTACTTACCTTTTTCCACATATTTTATAGGCACTGCATTTCTTCTCAATAACTTGCGGTGTTTTTTTTTATAAACGTAGTCGGACAATAGTATATTACGCACCGAGTGCGAAAGTAGGTTATTTTTCGAAGAATGTTAATTCAAAATTCGACCCCGTTCGTAAATTATCATGGACACAGACGGACGGACAGAAAGTCCAGAATCATAAACTCGCTTTTTGTCCCTTTTTAATAAATTGTAAACTTCAAGGTAAAAACTCAAGATTACTTACAAAATGAATTACTAAGTGTTTAGTATCACTGGTTTTTAGTGCACTTCCACTTTCAAAAAATAAAAAGTGCAGTTTTGCGCTCCATTTACACCATTTACAGACTTGGTATTGGTGTCATTCGATCAGATCAGAAATTATAATGTTTGTATTATCGTTAAGGCATGAAATGTCCATGAGGGCTATTAAAATTAAAAGAACATATTTCCAAGTGCACTCTTCGCCTCTTACTCACAAGCGGCTTAACGAATTTTGATATAATATGTGTTAAATTGTCACCATCAATTTTCACAAAAGTATACGTCCAAATCTCTCATACTTACTTCATACGGCACAGACCATTTGAAAGAACAGACCTTTTTGCCAAATTTACACACAAATTGAAACATTTAAAACTGAAAGTTTATTTTCTTTGTGATCACAGGAAATTATTAATTTATTATTATAAATGTATCTGAAAATTACACCAGTTTTTTTTTACTAAACCAATTGTAAAATGGTTTTTAGATGTGCTGCTTAAATTGCGATAGACGTAAGAAAGGAGAACAATTCAAATTTAATATGTTCGTAACCTTTTAGGTAAATTATTAAAACAGTTAGTATTGTATTGTTCTCTGTTAGTTTTCTTAGTAAGTGATTTTAGCTTTTAATTTTTAAATATGTATTGATATTTACACATGGGAAATGAAATAAAGCTATTTGTACTTCCTTAATTTTAATTCATTTAATCAGTGGCCAACGGTAAACACTTTTCTGATTCTGACATCCACGACAGTAACAAAAACTAAAAAGGTAAATCGGATACAAAAAGCGCACTAAGAATGAATTGTTTTATTTACATCAGCTGTTTATTTGGAAGCCCTGTCGTGACGTCATCACGAACACTTTCGAATCAATCACGTCACTGAAACATCTCGAGGCCTCGGCACCGAATAAAAGTCATGTACACTGTGATCTCGGTGCCTTTTGACAACTGGCGCATCTATTTGTCGGTGTCCGCACAAGCCTCATATAAATTGATCTAGTTGCGTCTCTTATTACTTTTCACTCAACGGTAAGGTCTAATCTTTGAACGGCCGCCATTTTGTTTTTTGATAACTTGTAGGCCTCCCTATCTTAAAATCATGAGGACTATACCCTGACCAACACCTGTGAGTTTCATGCTTTCTTCGCATTTGTTGTTATTTTTTACTGAAATCTGCTAGACTAATAGTTCGATCTGTATTGAACGCCAAAGGTTTACATGATAGGCGATACATGTTGAACAACCAAAACCATGCACCATGTTATCACTTTGTCATGAGAAATAAAAAAATAAAACATCACTTTTTAGTTCATTGATTTTCAAATTTTGAAATAAAAGCCGGGTAATATCGACCATCGTTGCGTGTAATATCGACCAAAGTGAAAATAGCCAAGAATCTTAATCTTCATTTAAAAAAGGCAAACTTAAATTTCACAACAGGTATCGCAAATGTAGTCCGAAGCTTTTTCAGCATTTGTACAGTCGGAATGTGACCATATGCCACAGGAACGACGTCTCCACCAAATATCTTTTTTTATTTTATTTCATCAACGCGAAACAAATTACCATCATTGGGAGCAAAAGTTTGATGCTGCAGTATTACGATATCATTTGAATCTCGATTTGAACATTCTTGTTCTTGGTAGGAATTTTTTTAGACTGAAGGGGCTGCTGAAACGTTGCTAGTGATTGATTTTTCTAAATCATTGTCCAGAACCAGGAAATTTAGTAAATCAGTTTGATTTAACTTAAGGGCTGGTTTTTGGTTCGCAAAAAATGAATAATTGCCACCATCCGCCATTTCCAGAGAACTTACATACCTAAAATTATCACATTTTGAAAAAATTCGAACGAAATTACTCTTTGAAAATATCTCAATGACAGAACAAAATACGGCCCGTTTGACTTGTACTTCTACGTACTTGATTGACATGTTAAATTAATAAACAAAAAAATTCTGTCCAACCGTTCACTTTCTTATCAATATAATATGTTAATTTAGAGGATTTCAAGTGCTAGTAGTGAAAAAAATAGTATATATACCACGGTAGAGAAGTCTATTATTGCCTTCGCACCTTACACCCCTCGGCGCAAGCGCCTCGAGATGTAATCTTGGTGCTCAGTTAATAATACTGTACTTCTTCTACCTTGATATATAATGTACTATTATTATATTATATTTATCAGGTTTCTCGGCGTCGGGGGGCGGGGCCGTCCGCCTGGTGGCGGGAGACGACTCGGCACCTTGCTGTGTAAGCGTATTGGCGTTATACTCGCGTTAATCCCTATATGCATGCCTTAATTTAAGGCGTTATTTAATTACATAACCCCACTTTTAACTTTTCGTAAAAAATCTTAAATTAAAAGAAGGATGTGTTGCTTTATTGTTTTTATTAAAAAGTTTTTGGCTGTTTGTATAAAAACATTCCTTTGAATTACAGTCCGGTTCTCGGCATCAAAAATTGAGTTTGAATTTAAAAACTCCGTTAATATACTACCAGATCATCTTCATCAACCTTTTGCTTGTATCCATCTCGAAGTCGAAGTAAGTAGTAATATACAGGATTCCTATAGTACCTGCCACCGTTTGGGAGCGTATAGGGGGTGCCTAGGGGAGTATTTTGATATAGGACACTTGGGGTCGGAAATCTAAAATAAGGGCGCCAGAACCAAATTTATCTTCTGGAATTTCACGCCTGTATGTAGGCAACCCAACCGACCGACGTTTCGCGCGGAGCGATGCAGAGCGAGTTAGCGCGAGGAAGCGACATGGGAGGGAAGGAGGGAAAACGACAGTCAAAGCAATAACGTTTACAAGTGTTCAACGTGGCCACCGTTGTTCTCAAATCTCAATGCACTTCCTACATCTAGCCAACTATTATTATACTATTGCCATAGTGTTTATTCACTTGATACGCGTCGTTGCAGACGGGATTTCGTGGGTTTAAACAAATTCTGATCAAGTGTCAGCCACACATCGCCGCCTGAGATCGCTCCGTGTGCACCGCCGGCCGGTTGGGTTGCCTACCTACAGGCGCGAAATTCCAGAAGGTAAATTTGGCTCTGTCACCCTTATTTTAGATTTCCGACCCCAAGTGTCCTATATCAAAATACTCCCCTACGCACCACCTACACGCTCCCAAACGGTGGCAGGTACTATAGGAATCACCCTGTATGGCAGATTTTAAATCTCACTAGATGAAAATCCCTAGAAAAGTCACTAGAATTGAGTGGTTCTGAACTGTGGTAGCGAGGTTTGCGCCTGTGCTAACGTCAAGGGGTCGAGGTTTGCGCTCCAGATAAAGTATCAGAGGTTTGCGCCTGTGCTAACGTCAAGGTCAAGGGGTCGAGGTTAGCGCTCCAGATAAAGTATCGGAGGTTTGCGCCTGTGCTAACGTCAAGGTCAAGGGGTCGAGGTTTGCGCTCCAGATAAAGTATCGGAGGTTTGCGCCTGTGCTAACGTCAAGGTCAAGGGGGTCGAGGTTTGCGCTCGAGATAAAGTATCGGAGGTTTGCGTCCGAGCTAAAGTAATTTGGTTTGCGCCTGAGGGGTCTTGTCGATGGTAGTGTACGGCCGATTCTAAATCACACTATATTCTAAATATGACTGGTGGTGGGGATTGACGCTTATATAAGCCTCTATATGTTCGTTACAAGGTGTACATGTATTAAAGATGTCGTGGATGGCATATGCTGAGGAATCATGGGCCAAAGCTACCGATTTCGTGACGGCCGTGAGACGTCTTAAGCAGCATTTTTCTGCATTAGCATTTGATGCAGAGCACGAGGCGATATATGGACGCGGTGAATACAGCCCAGAGGAGTGCCAAGCTATTGCAGCCAAGTATGAGCTAGGAGAGGCAATATGTGACAGTTACTTAAGTTATAAAATATGTGACGAGTGCATTATCCGGAAACTAAGGGATGCAAAGTTGGAGCAGTTTAGTGAACAGTTGCAAGCGTGGAAGGATGAATCTTCAGA